GGAAGGAAGGGTCTCGGCCCGAGGGAGGCGCCATGGCGACCACCGTCACTACTCAGCGGGGCCCGGTGAGTGCTGCCGAGTGAGCGTGAGCCGCGGGGGCCTCTGAAAGTTGTTTCCTGTTAATTCTTACGACTGCAGCGCGTTGGGCTGGTGAGGCCCGGGTTGGACCCTTCTGGGCTTCGGCTGCTGTCTCTCTCACCCTCGGCACGGCTCCTGCCAGTGGGCCTCGGTGGGAGGGAGACTCACCCTTCTCGTCTCCTCCTCGGCTTGCGGCCCGTGACAGAGGGGAGAGGAAAGACCTTCTTCCCCAGACTGCCGCGGTCCGGGGGGAGGGGGCGGGGAAGGAAAGTCTGCCTCTTCTGCTTCTTCGCCTTGCGAAGAGGCTTTGGAAAAGGGGAGGGGAAAGTCCCTCCTCTCTGCGTGTAGGACTTGAAGAGGCTATTCTGCCTGTTCTTTGTCTAAGGGCCTTCCAAAGGAGCGAACGGCTTAAACTAAACCAAGGCTAAACCTCTTTCTTTTTAAAGCAGAGTAGAGCTTTGTGTTTCCGTGGTTGAGCTGGGCACATTCAGGTAGATGTCTCTGAAATTGCCACCTGAAAGCTGGAACGTGAAACGTGCTGATATACGCGTTCAATGGAAGTATGTAGGCATGCGGGTTGGGAGTGGGTGGGGAGCTGAGCACTCTTAAAACCGATTTACCAGTCTTCTGGGAGGTAGTGTCGGTAGCTTATTGGGAATGTGTCATTGCCTAGTTTTGCCCTGGAGTAATCTTGGCCCATACCAGGATGTTCTACTGTGTGGTGTATAACTCTGCGGTATAACATCAGCTCTCAATCGATGTGCTATTCCTATCTCTTCCTACTGTCTGGAAAGATCTGGTAGTAATTGACAATACGATGTTGCTCTGCAGGTGAAGTAAGATTTTCTTAAACAATCAATTTAAACTGCTGGGTTTTACTACTTAGAAACAGCCACGGGTTTTGTATGCCTATGCAGCCTTGATGAAAGACCAGAGGAGTGAATTATTAAACTGCTAATCTTGAAAAACTGCATCACTGTCTGTTGTTATCTCATGACAGTAATATTATGTCATCAATTTAATTGCTTAAAATGCCTTATCTGTCTGGTCTTCCAGAATAGATTCCTTATACAATGGATTGATGATGGCTCTGTTGTTGGAATAAAAGTTTTAAGTGGAGAAGTTATTTGTTCTCTCTTGATAGTGCCATGAAAAGACAACAGCTGCTGTTCTGTTTGAATCTGTGGTCAATTAGGTAGTTGCTCTACCCAAAGGCTTGGTATTTGACAGTTGATGCTGTGATTGCACCCAAATAGAATTCTGGCAATGTGTAAGAGGCTTTAATCAAAAAAGCTCAAAATAATATAAATACCTGAAAAATATTCAAGAATTTGTTTAAAAGTAACTTCACTTCCAGTAATCCTTTAGTTTCTGTTTGGAGAAGGTTGCAGAGATGGTGGAAATTGATGTGAGAATAGGGATAGAAGGAATTGGTAAAAAACTAAGTGGTTTGGCTAAAGCTGAACAGTAGGCCTGATTGCAGTCCTGATTTGTGGAGAGATAAATTATGCAGATATTTCTATCTCTGTAATGGAACAGCATTTCTTTCTGAGAGAAATTTTAATTTTCTGTGATGCTAAATACCTTGTTGATATTTAGCTTGGTGAAATCCTCTTTCTGGGCTGAAATAAGATTTTAGTGAGAACCTTCTTGGACATGGCTATAATTTTGCAGATGTTTGGATATCATAACTGCCTAGTCTTTCTTAAATGTTTTAAAGGAACTCAATGCTTAGAATGTTATTCTTCCAGATCTCTTATTTTAGAATTACCCAGGTATTCCTGTATAATCCCTTGGCAATATTCTGTTACTTAAAATTGATTTAAGCCTGACAAATAGAAAGGCATATGATGATTTTATCTTGTACAACTTTGGCTTTCTGGTTTTGTTTTTTGGTGTTTTTTTTTTTCTTATGTGTTTCTAACATTGTTGTGTATGCTTTTCTTCCTTGTCTTAACAACTTTAGATATTTGAATATTTTCAAATGAATAAATAAATTATGCAATATTAAGCTGCCATTCACAGGTGATGATGCTGATAATGGTAGATGCCAGCCTTCCTTAGCTCTCTGTAGAGTGGAAGATAGAATTCTACTTGTTTATATATAAAACTGCATTACAAGTGAATAGCCACTAAATGGTGCTAAAGGATTGGGAAACGTTTTTTCTTTCGTGCTGCAGAGAGCAGTTCTGTCTCTCTCTGTTTGAACAAGCAAGAAAATATTGCCCTTTTTTCATGCACGTAAGAAAGTAAAGCATACTGCTATACAGTTGCCAGTCTTGTTCTTATACCTGTTTTCTAGTTTGTGATGATGCTTATTTAGTTAGTAATGTAAAACTTCCAATTGCTGTTTAGTTTTTCAGATGAGATGAAACAGAACTGGAATTCATCATGTCTGTTGTGACTAAATATTATGCTAGAATGTAGACTTCTCTGACTATTTTCAGGATTTATGGAATTAGTGTTTTTTTGCCTTTTGTGATCTTTTGAGAACAAAACAGCTTATGAAATCTGAACGATGGCTGCTAAATGATACCTTTTCCAAGTGAGAGGTGTTAACAAACAGTTTGATCAGGGTTCAAGTTTAGTCTGTGAGACCAAAACGAAATTTGTAATTCCTTAGCTAACCAAGTACGTCTAAAATTAATGTCCATGATTATTCGCCATGCTGGCAAATATGTCAGATCCTCCAAAATTAGATCAAGTACCAAGCTAGGATTATTTAGATTTCTGCTCCTAATTTCCCAAATAATCACTACTCTGATGATTGGAAATCTTCGTATGGGCAGTCTACATTTATTATTACTTCTCTTTTCTTGCCCTAATACTGTCATTTAACTACGTAAATCTTGTTGTCTCTGATTTTACTTGAGGTTTTGTTTTGAGACTCTTCAAAACTTTGATATCTTTTTCTGAATGAAGGTGACAAGTAATTAGCGTTTGCCTTGTCCAGTATCAATATATATAATGTTGTCACATAAGCAACTTTGAATAGCAAATCCCATCACCAAAGTAATTGTGTTGATAATTCTGGGTATAATTAAGTATTTTATTATATATTTTGTTTTTCATTAGAATGTGAATATATGTAGTATTAAAATCCTGATCCATAAAGGCGGACATTTCATAAAGACACATTGTTGCAATCAATTTGGATTTCAGAATTTGTTTTAAAAGTTGAGGGAGTAAGATGTCATTCAGTATAAGCAAAACGTGAATTAATTTTTAAGTGCTGTGGTCTGATCACTGGAGCATGTTCCTTTGACAGAAAATGTTGAGAGCAGCATTGGTAATGCTTTGAAGTTCTTGATTTCTAACATGTAAGAGAAGTACCTTAAGGCACTAAGTGGCTTATTTTCTGTTGCATCCAATGGCATTTTCTTTTAACCAAGACTTGGAGGAAAGAAGGATATGTATTAGTATGTCTAGTAGTAGTGTAGAAAAAAATCAGAAGCCTGTTCTTGGAATTTATGTCAATTATTCTTCTCCTTAATGCTTATCCCATTGTGAATTAATGGGATTGCTTATTTTGAGCTGGTTCTATGGCTTTTCCCTGATGTTATTTCTCTTTTACATTGAGTGCAGACCAAATCCACATAGCTCAAATATGGTATAAATGCTTCTTGAATTTGAGATGTCTATGGACACTCAATCTATCTTTTGTTTTTAACTCATGTTTGAATGCAATAGTTGCTGCCACATTTAGCAGGAATCCGCGTTATTGTTTTAGTGAAGAAGAGAATCTTTTTATTGTAATCAATGGTTCCTATTGATTTCTTCTTCAGTAAAACTAAACATTTTTTCTTTATTAACAGTTGTGCTTTTGCACTATGGAATGTATTTTGCAAGTATTTAAATGCTAATGTCTTAGACAAATTCAGATTTGCTGGGAAAATCCAGAGGCAGTAGCTTGTGGCAAAATACTTAGTCAAGACTAAATATAGATGCTGTACTTGGGGGAAAGGTAAAATAATATTAAGGTGATGACTACAGAACAATAAAGCCTTCACAGGTAGAAATATGGAAGCAATGGAAGCAGCAAAGTAGATTGGGAAATTTCTGGCAACAGGAAAAAAAAATATCATAAGAATGAGAGAAGAAATGTCTGGTGCCTTGCAGTCCATTACACTTTTTTGTGTGACATTTAAAAAAAACAACATACCAAAAGAAAAGAAAAAGAAAATACGAAAAAACCAAACCAGCAAAAATCTGTAAATGTAATAAACTTAATTGCTGTTATAGCCTTTCCTCTGCCCATCTCTAAATTGAAATTCAGAAGTAGAGCCTTTGACTACAATTCTACAGGAGTTTAACTGAGGATGTGTCATGCTATAACACGAGTTCTATAGAATCATAGAATAGTTCAAGTTAAAGAGGATGTCAGGAGACCATGTAGTCCAATTTTTAATTCAGACCAGCTTGCTCAGGGCTTTTTCCAGCAGGATCTTCAAAACATCTAAGGTGAGAGTTTTTTCAGTCTTCATGGGAAATTTGTTGTCTGTGCAGTGATTTATTTTTTTTCTTCCTCTCCTCCTTATTTCATGTCAAACCTGTTTGACTTTGGCAGTTGAGGGCACCTTTCTTCTTGCCTTGCGTCTCAGAAGAGAACCTGGCCCTGTTTTCTTAATGCCCTCCTCATAGATACTGGAAAGCTGCTACGAGATGCATCCTAAGTTTCTTCTATCTTAAACAAATCCTCAGCCTGTCCTCACAAGTTTTGTGCTACAGCCCTTTTCGTGGGCTATCTTGGTGGATCTTTGCTGCGCTCAGTCAAGTTTGTAATTCTTTTACTGCTGGGCCCCAGACTGGTTGCAGTGTTCCAGATGTGGTCTAATGAGTGCTGAGTAAAGGTAAACAATCGCTTTCCTGAGCCTACTGGCTAGGCTTTTGTTGATCCAGTATAGTATGCTGTTAGGCTTCACTGTTGTGAGAGTGCTCTGCTCATTCATGTTTAGCTTGCTCTCCAGCGGGACATGCATATTTTTCT